GATGATTGGAGAAGCGTCCTCTCGGCTTGTTCCAAGTTCCTTCAACGCTGGAAGTAGGGATGAAGCTCTCCTTCTCGAGGAAAGCACAGGAATGTACTTCAAGAACTCTCTCAAGCACTCTCCCTCACTCTTCTCATGAAATGATGGAAGAAGGAGAATGAAGAAGATGAGAAGGTGGAAGGGGAATGAGCAATATCTCACCCAAATGCTTCCTCATGAAAACTATCTCCAACAGGAAAACACTTTTCAAGCTTAATGGAGGAGGAGGAAGAAGAAGATTAAGAGGATGAAGAGGTGGAAGAACAAGCTTACCGAGAGCTCTCCTCCTTCCCAAAAGATCCTCTCTCTCCAGGAGAAGCTCTTCTCAAAACTCTTCCCCTAGAAAAGGCTCTCTTCCTCCGGCTAATCTCCTTGCCCAAGGAAAATGTCTCGGCCGTTCAGGGACCCCCCTTGCAAAAATGGCCAAAATCCCTTGACTTACCTTTGGTCTTTTCCAAAAGTGGCAAAAGACCAAGGTAAATGAGGTGGGTTTTTCACCTACATGTAATGCATATGAGGCTCCCTTTATCTAAGTTGGCGGTACTGCATTTTGACACCAAATTAGGTTAGGCGCCTAAGCATTGCTCTCTCGAGCGAGATACAACATTTTGGGCGCTTAGGCGCCCAAGACTGGGCGTCTGAGTGCCCATCTTTTTAGAATGGGGCTTGGAGCACCACTTTGAACGCATAGGCACGAGACTAGGTGTATATGCTGCTAGTCTCGCCCAAAAAATGGATTTTTGCCTCTAAGCAAAAGTTCATGCGGTTGATTTCTATCAATCATTGAACTGTCAAAGGCTATTGGTGAATGAAGTATGGTTTCCGAACATCTAAATGAACATCTGAGATGTGTCGTATTAGACGAAAATCGTCGGTCTAGGTCAAGTACGACCGGAGTGGTCCATACCTTAATTTTATGCTCGGACATCCGTTGAAGGGTTTTTACATATTCGAAAGCTACGAGAAATCACATATCACTAATATTTGATCTCGTAAATTAAAAGTAGATATTATGGAGGTTTTATATCAGAGACTTTAGTGTTGACGGGCATCGTATTTGAAGAAAATCTTTGGTCGAGACCAAGTACGGACGGAGTGGTCCAAACCCTAATTTTATGCTTGGACATTCGTTGAAGGGTTTTTACAAATTCGAAATCTACAGGAAATTGCATATCACTAAAATTCACCTCGTAACTTAAAAATAAATATTCTTGAGGTTTTATATCAGAGACTTTAGTGTTGACGGGCGTCCAAGACCATCGTTTGGGTGCGTCGGTCCGGACCCTGATCTTCCCAAAATGCACGTGGGAGAGTTCTATGAATGCCTTTGACAACAGTAGGTTCTGAATGGAAGAAGGGTCGTCTTAAAACACTAAAATGGACAACAAATGTGTCCTATGTTAAAATTAACATCACCTAATGGTGAACTCTCTTGGGTAAGGTTGAATTAATACCTATCCCATTTTTGTGCCCAAAACACGTATCAGGAGGTCTGAATGTTTATCTTGGACGACAGAAGACGTTGAAGGAGTGAAATATAGTATCATAGCGTCCAAGTAAGCATCCCTCATATGTGACATCAAAAATGGATGCCAATAACAAATTTATTTTTTTGCACTTTGAAATATAAAATTTTATAGCTCATCACACTCAGTTATTTTATTTTTTTTAATTAATTTTCGTGTTGGGTGAATAAAACAAGCTGTGCTAAAGTATGTATGTTCTTGATGATGAATGCTCAAAAGATTTGTTTATAATGTCAAACGATATGTAGAGACAAACTCACTCTATAAGGCGGTGATCCTCGAAGGAAAAATCATCGTTTTCCATGCAATGAGTGAGAGCCTGAAGACAATTAATATGAATGCATATGTCTAAAATGATGTTTTCGTGGCTATTCTTAAATTGCAAAGAGGTTTCTACTCATTTTTATTTAATTTCAGTTTTATTTTCTTAAATACTTTGAAATGATTATTTTAATATATAGAACTATATGTTAATTCCCAAAGACAAAATTTACGGAATTAGTTTTGGCTTAAATTAAATTTATTAAGATTTTATTGTAATATCAATATTTCTGGTTTTGTAACACAACAGTGGAAATCAAATTTTTTATTATTTGTACATGCAATGCCTAATGAAATTGGTTGATTGTGATGATTTAGTTAAAAAATATTTTTTTTTATATAATTAATTTATGGCTCATTAAATCTTTATTTTTAGATGTTTTACAAAGATTTCTCATAACCAATTTGGTGGAAGTCAATTTTTTTATTATTTGTACTTGCAATGTCTAATGAAATTGGTTGATTGCGTTGATTAAATATATAAAATTAATTAATTAATTTATGGCTTATTAAATCTTTTTTTTTAGTCGTTTTACAAAGATTTATCATCATCAATTTGGATTTAGGTCGGGAAGGTCTACTATGGAAGCTATACATTTATTGAGAGGTTGATGGAGCAGTTCAAAGAGAATAAGGAGGATCTACATATGTTTTTTATTGATTTAAAAAACAGCTTACGATAAGATTCCAAAAGATATCTTTTGGAGAATTCTAGAGAAGAAAGGAGTTGATATGACTTATATTGAATTCATTTAGGATATTTAAACTAAAGCTATTACTTGTGTTCTAACAGGAGGATTGATGAAATATTTTTCTACTTTAGTTGGATTACATCAAGGATTGGCTTTATGCCTTATGCTTTTGTTTTAGTTATGGATGCTCTTTCTGGACAATTATAGGAGGATGTACCTTGGTGTATGCTTTTCGTTGATATATCCTTCTTGTGGATAAGGCTAGAGAAAAAGCTCAGGGAAAAGTTGATTTATGGATGTCTACATTGGAGTCTAAAGACCTTCGTTTGAGTTGAACTAAAATTGAATACTTGGAATTATGGGTGATCAAATTATTAAAATGTGTGAACGCTTTAGATATTTCTGGTATATTGTTCAAAGTGACGGCGATATAGATGGGGATGTTATTAGTAGAATTCAAGTTAGTTGGTTGAAGTGGAGAAATGCTTCGAGCCTATCTTGTGATTAAAAAGTTTCTCTTGTCCACTTAGACTGAAAGGAAAATTTTATAAGATGGTGGTGAGACTTGCATTGCTCTATGGCGTTGAATGTTAGCCTGTAAAAGAAAAGCATAAAACTAAGTTAAGTGTTGCTGAGATGAGAATGCTTAGGTGGAAGAGTAGCTTTACACTTAGAGACAAAATGCGAAATGAATATATTCGTGATATGGTTGGTGTAGCTCCAGTCGCAAAAAAAATTAAAGAGAGTCGTCTTAGATGGCCTGGTCACAGTAAACCTCAACGTTCTGGTAATCCAGTTAGGAGAGTAGATGTTTTAGATTCGACCTATGTTAAGAAAGGCATAGGTAGACCTAGAAAGACTTAGGCATTTTGTATAAAAAATGATCTTATTTTATTAGAAATAAATGAAAATATGACACTCAACAAGACGCAATAGAGAAAATGAATTCATGTAGTTGACCCACTTACTGGGACAAAAGTTTGTTCTTGTTGTTGATTTACAGAGAGTCTGAAATAGAGTGTTTTAGATTCGACCTATGTTAAGAAAGGCATAGGTAGACCTAGAAAGACTTAGGCATTTTGTATAAAAAATGATCTTATTTTATTAGAAATAAATGAAAATATGACACTCAACAAGACGCAATGGAGAAAATGAATTCATGTAGTTGACCCACTTACTGGGATAAAAGTTTGTTGTTGTTGTTGTTGATTTACAGAGAGTCTGAAATAGATAACAACCAAGAAATAGAGAAGAGAGATGAAAAGAAAGAATGTGTTGATAGGCAAGGTAAGTATTGTTGTTGTTGTTGTTGTTAAAATTTAGGTTTTGATATTTCTTTGATGAACCAATTTTCAATTGTAGTGGTATGTTTATAAGCTTGTATAAGGAAAAATAATATTGAGATTGTTTTTAAAATGAAAAAATTTCAGGTATTTATTTTGAAGGGATAAATCATTATTTGAGTAAGATGTACACCTTCTAAAACCAAAAGCAAAAGTTTTTTAGTCTTTTATATTTGTTATTGTGTGTATTTTCGACAATTAGGTGTATTTTAGTTGATGTTTCTCATATTATAGAAGAAAAATTTTAAAATTATAAAAAAGAAATTATATATATATATATATATATATATATATAAACGTAATATTTGTATACACTGTTATTCAACTTATTTTAAGTAGAATCATTACAATTTTGTGATTATATTTTGTTGCACAACTATTATTCAATAGAGAAATTTTGATAGAACATCAAGGGAACTTACTTTTGAATAAAGAGGAATTTACGTACATACAACCCAATTCTTATGTATTTGCATATCTACTACTTAAACCTTCATATTTACATTTATAACACTCAAAATTTTAACATCACATCAAAGATACCGCCATCGTTACATCTTTAAAAGTGAAATATTACCTTTTCATACATAGATTTATGACGCCAAAGTGTCAGAAGTGTAAATATCGAACTTTAGGTGTGAATATGTAAATTCATAAAAATTGCGCGGCATGTGAACTTTAGGTGTTAGATATGTAAATACATAAGAATTGTGTGCTATTTTTGTGAATCTTACTTCAGTATTTTAAATGCCTTTGTACTTATGATTTATATAACTCTGCAAAACTGGGAATAGTAAATCAAAGGAATTTTTCTTTTTGTTTGCTGTTAATGAACTTTGGTTATCATCCAATTTTCTAACTTTTTAAGATAATTACATAACACCATTCAAAAACATTTATATTTACAAAACCACCCAGGTAATTTTTTTTGAACCACTGATAAATTGATACATTTACGTGTGCCACAATCAAACCATTGATAGTTCGATAAAAATGAAAAATACTTTGAAATTTTGATGAAAGAAAGTGCTACATTGGTAAATTGCAATATTTTGAAGGCTGTGTATGTAAATTCTCAGAACTGATCCTGCTTCAGAAGATGCTTTCAGGTTTGTCAATAGTACCTGCTGTCTATTTGAAAATTTTGTTCATGTGATGCTATCTGGAGCTGTATTTCTGTACAGATTTCATGCTTATCAGTTGCAGGAGGAATGAAAGCAATTTTATGAATTAAAAACATAGAATATTGCAAGAAAGCACCTCTTTTTTGTTTTAATTCCATTAAAGACATTGATGTCTGGCGTTTACATACATACCACACAATTCTTATGTATTTACACATCTGACACTTAAACTTTCATATTTCCATGCATAACACTCGATTCTGCATGTTTATGATATCAAAGGGTTATCAATGTAAATATCACATTTTAGTTGCTGGATTTGTAAATATAGAACCGCATGTGGTATGTATGTAAATTTCCCAAATATTAAATTGGAGCTGAATGGTTTTGGAGGAAACTGTACATTAGTTTGAAATATAACTGCATGCTGGTTCAGCATCTTCATATGTCAACCAATTAGTCAAGAGAAACTTTTAGCCCTGATATACCACTTAATTTTTATGATTTACATATGTACCACTTAGTTTTTATTTATTTTTTACATATCTAACACCTAAATATCAATTTTTGCGTGTTTGGCTCATTAATTAACTCGTGTTCGGCTTGTTCGTTAAGTAAACGAGTCGAACATGAGCATATTTTTAAAGCTTGAATTATAAACGAGCTGTTCGCTCACAGCTCTTTGTTCGCTCATGTTCAGCTCGTTTTAGCTCGAAATTAAAAAAAAAATTATATAACTATTTATATAACAATATATTACGTAAATTATTTATATAGTAATATATTATATATATTTATGACTAAGTTTAAATCATAACATCTCATGTGACAATGTGGTTAGTGTCTTCTTTTGTATATATTTGGTTCATTTTCGAATCTCACACTTTACATCTATTTTTTTCAATTTAATTTTAACGAGCCAATTTCTAGCCGAACAAGAATATTTAAATTAAGCCGAACACGAACATACTGTTCACGAGCCGATTTGAACACGAGTCAAATCTGAGCTCGCTCAATCTCGGCTCGTTTACAGCCCTATCTATGCTATGTGACAAAAGATTTGGGTAGTATAATGAAAAATAAAGCATAGGTGTTATGTAAGTACGTAGAAATTAAGTGGTATGTATGTAAATCTCCCTAAAAATCTTCTTATCAATAATTGATCCAATTTTATCTGAAGCAGATATCATGAGGACTGATTTTGATTAAATAATTGTTAATTTTTTTTTAATTTAATGAGTAGATGATAAAATTGGTAACATTTATGAAAGCTATGTTTCGTCTTTATACCCTTTAAATATGGTTTTATGCAAATTTAAAAATTACAATTTTCATCACATTTAATATTAAATATTATATATTACCCCCTTTTTTTACTTTTTGAACAATTAATTAATTTGGAATCTTGAACCTTTTTAAAACTAATGGGATTAATAATGCTTAATTTGTCATTATATGTTATGGCTAAATGTTAGTTATGTCAACCATTTGGCAATGTATGATGAGAAAATGCCTTTAGACTAGGCTAGACCAAGCTTTATGATGATATGTTGATGGTAATAATTTCATTATGGTTTAGTAAGTGGGAAATTTACATATATGTCATGTAAATTTTACGTATTTACATTCCTGACGCTGAAGGTTTTATATTTACACTTATAAACGCTTTTGTGTCGTATGCCTGTGCATGAAAGTTGTATTTCAGTTATTCTTTATATGATGTTAGAGATTTGGGCGGTATGTATGTAAATATAAATTTGTATACATTCCATTCAATTCTTATGTATTTCATTGCCGAATGCCTAAAGTTTCTTCCTGTGTTATTTCACGTTATTCAGTTGTTATTGTGGTGTTATTGATGTGTTATTGTGTTATTATAACATTAGGAATATTCCCATAACACAATAACACATAAATATTACCACAATAACACCTGAATAATGTAGAATAATACGGGAGAAATATTATCCTGCTAAAACAATTTTTTTTTAAATTTTTTTCTGTCACCTTTACATGTCGGCATATCAGTGAACTCCGAACGTAGCTCGACTTTAGGAGTCTTGATGTAATATTTTTTCTATCTATGTTTAGGGAGGGAGGGAGGGAGGGAGGGAATTATCATAAATTAATTCTACGTAATTTTTTAAAAGCCCAATATAAATAATCCTTATTAAATATGATTTAAATATAATTAATTTGGAAGACTATCATAATTACTAATTAATAGTAACTTATCAGATTGATTAATAATTAAACGATTATAGCGCTAATGAACTGACCTAATTCAAATTTTAATTAATTTATTAATGACGAAAATAATTTTTTTATAATAATCAGTTAATCTACCAACAGGCCATGCCTAATTATCATAATTCAAAACAAATAGAAGTTTAAAATATCTTAAAGAAAATCTTAATCTAAATAAATAATTATTGATTACACCATTGAAATATGCTTTCATTGATTTTTTTTTCTTAACTAGCATTCTTAATACTCATAAAATATTAATAATTTAATTAAAAACTTATTAAGATTTGATTAATTTATATGGTAATAATTATTATTTATTAATTAATTAACCAATTATTATATACCAGACTATCTTAATTATATAGTTAATGACTAGTCATTTTAAATATTTAGCAACATCCGACAAATTAATCAATTTTTTTTTCTATCCTGCACTTTTTTATTGTAATTGAATATTGATCAAATATAATCAGCTTAATTTTTTTTGTAATTAATTGTTAATGATCAGTTATATATTTAACAAAAAAATATTAATTGTTCATATCAAACTTAGTCAACAAAATTTTAATGACCGCCATTATTAACTAATTATTCATTATAAGCCTAACTAATTTCTAATTTTCATAATTAGTCTTGATGTATGCCACAATATCAATGGTGGTAAAGTGATAAATTAATATCTCAACGTAGTACGAGATCCAACACACACTAATTAAAAAAAAAGTTTGTGCGAAGAGACAATTTTTATTTGGGAAAAAAAACATGGAGCCTGGCCCAATTGAAATAATATACTTTGTAATTATGAGCACATACTCCCACTTTTCTTTTGAACTAGGAAAATGGAATTGTAAAATTGATGTGCAACAACATTTCAGCAACAATGGTCTTATCGGGTTGTAGTTGATTGCTATGAAGGTGGTAGCCCGCAATGATTGTTGTTTTTGATAGTTGTGGTGTCAGCTGGTTGTAGAGGTCATAGTTAAAAGTCGTGATAGCAGTTTGCCCAGTAGGTTGTGGATGGTTGCTTCAGAATTGTCGATTGGCCACAGATGTCATACTAGAGATCTACAGGAGTTGTGAGGCACGTAGGGCGTAGTTTGTCACATTGTCCATAGTAGTAAGTTGCGGTAAAGTCTATAAGCCCCGAAGGCTTGAGTTGGGAGTTACAATAATGTCTATAGGCCACAAAGATCGTGATTGGAAGTTGTGTGATCTGTGAGTCATGTTGGTCGTAGTTGATCGCATATGTCATAATGCTGAACTACAATAATTTTTTTAGGCCACCGAGGCTAGAGTTTGGAGCTGTAATAACATCTGTAAGCCACAGAGGTAAAGTTGGGGGTTGTGTGATGAGAGAACTTCAGGAGTTCAGAGAAGGTTATTGTATTCTGAGTACGACGATCTTAAGCACTTACTATAGAGAGTTACACCATCTTATAGGTGAATTGTTACACTATCTTTGGGTTGCATCATTACATCATATTCAAGGTGTGTTGTTACATCAGCTTTGGGGTGCGGCGTTACACCATCTTTGAGGTGTGTTGCTACACCATCTTTGGGGTGTGTCTTTACAATGTCTTGTAGCTTTGGGGTTGTTATACTGTCAGATTCATTGTTGCATCGAGCAGGGGCGGCCAACGGTGGTCGACGACGGCCACCAAACGATGGTCAATGATGTGGCCTTAACTTAAGTTCAGGTGCACTTGTACTCTGGAGCCTTACGTAAGTTTACATATCGCTTTTATAATATAGAAGTGTGAGTCTAGGTTGTCGAACCCACAGGGAGCAACATGTTTAAGTTTTAGGAAAAGTTCTAACCTACTAAATTTGTTCTTAGCTTGGAAGTAAAATTTGTTCAAAGTCATGCTAACTAGTCCCACTGAATTGCAAACTACTATTAAAAGTTTACTCCTACTGAAATTCTACTTAATATACTTGGATTGGTGATAATTAAGTTATAAAGCTACATTCTCTTACAATGATCTAAGTGGAGTGAAGGAAATGAAAAATGCAAAATGTGAATGAGGCCAGTGACAAATATGAGCAACTCTCTTCTTTACCAGCTTCCAAGTGCATAAAGAAGTTTGGTTCCAATAGTTTTAATTTCGTAAACCACAATTTGAACCAATCAAAGATTATTTCTCTAACATTTGTATCTCTTTACAAAGTACTTCAACCTATAGATTAATGCGAATAATTTAGTTATTCTTCCATAGCTATCCCGAGTCATTATGGATCACAACACATTTTAACTAATCACTTGGCCAGAATGGAAAGTAAATGAAGACTTGAAGGTTACTCTTCACATTATAGATTTAAAAATAATTTTAAAGGCATTCTTTCATTCCTACGCTTTATGCTTAATCACTATCAGGGAAAAGGTAAAATGACCGCTCTTAAAGCATTGAGAAAACATGACAACCCTCTTTGAAAACAAGTAAATCCACTATAGAATTGTGTTTACAGAAATGCAATAACAAGAATACAAAATACTTAGTTTTTCCCCTTTACAAAGTACTGAGAATGCTTCCCCAAGAATCTCCTAGTCCTCTTGTTTCTTTCCTCAAGTCTGTCCTCACTTTACACTTGAGATTCTCTCCAAATCCCTCACAAATGCTCTCCTACTCTATCCTTCTCCAAAGGACCAACAAAAGGCTTCAAAAGAACCGAAAAAAACTCTTTCTTCTTCACCAAAGAACCCCTTTCACGTGCTGAATAACTCCCCAAATCGTGTAAAGGAACTGTTGAAAACTGCCAAGGTAATTTTTAGCGCCTAGGCGCCAGGCTCTCTGTCAGCCAGATTAGCTATGGGCACCTAGGTGCCCAAAAATCTAGCACCATAATGTTGTTGTAGTGGCGCCTTAGCGCCCACTAGGCGCTAGCTTCTCGGATTCCCAGGGCGGGACTAGTGCCTAGGGTGCCTAAAAAATCTGGCACCACAGCGTCAGTCACTTGGGTCCTCCTTTGCTTCAATTCACCTCAACTTTACTCCATTTCTTCTCCACTTTGCTCTACTTCTAATACATGTTTTATATGCAGAAAAAAACATAAAAATTTCTTTCTTTAGAATGCAATTTCATTCGTAAAAAAGGTGCGAAATATAAAGAAAATTAAGCATTCTTTTCTACACACCGACCGACGATGGTCGGCGACTACGGGAGCAAGAAATTTTTGTCAAGTTTTCGGTCCATAACAACATTGAGATTCAACTCCTTCTCCTGACACAACTCTAGTTTAAGGTCTACCTCCTTCCTCTTTCATGAAGGGGGTTGAACTCTACTTATAGAGTGTAGGAGTGGACTTCCAATAAATAAACAATAATCTTGACCTCTTCTTTGGATAGCTCAAAGAGATTCTCACAATAGGATAACATATTACAGACATTTTAGTACTTTAAAGATGTTGGAATTGAGTAATCCTGAGCTCGTTAGATGCAGCTTATTAAGACACTTGATTTGTTTATAAGTTTGTTAGATTTGGAACTCTTTGAACCATTTAATTAACCACTCAAAGCTTTCAAAAGTTGTTTAATGACTTGATTTGGGCTTGATTTGAGGATTTTACCAAATTTAGTGTCATTATGTTTGTTTCTTCGAGTCGATCAATTTGACTATAAATTTGTTTAAATCAGCGTTATGGTGATTTTTTAATTTGAGTTTGATGATTTCTTGCTAAAAATACTTTGAGATAAGTGTTAATCGCCTCGATATTTGTCTAAAATAATAAAATTTATTGATGATGTATTAATTGCCCCTAATTTGTTGGTGATTTTGCTTGTTCATTACAAAAAACTACTAAAATCATGAAAATCCCCAAAATTTTATGAATAAATTAAAAAAGAATAAAAGTTTTATAGAGGTAGCGGGCGGGGGTGTGCGTTCACATACTTGTGGTGTGCAATTCGGGTCAAAATGGGTGAGCAGCGGGCTAGAGAAGTAGAGTAGGTTCGTGTTGGATTCAATTGGCACCGGGTCGAGGAGGCAGATCGGGTTTGGGCTAGAAAGGGTCGGTGGATTGGGGGAGTGAGCCAGAGTGGGGTTAGATGGACGATAGATCGGTGACAAGGTAGTGTCAGAGGTGGAGTGGATCGTGGGATTGGGAGGCTTCTAGTGTGATCCTTGGATGCAAAATCGAATGACAAAAATCACAGTTTAGGTAACAGAATCGTTGGCGTGGAATGTTAATCGCGTGGATCCCGACCCCACAACTTGAATTCATCAGATATTGACCCAGATCCATGTGAATTGGACAAAAGTCTCGCTCATAATCAGACAGTTCCCATGAGCTCACTAGGCCAAAACCAAAAAAATAAGTTTTTGGACTTTCTTTCACTACTTTGAGCCTATAAATATGTCAAAATTAGGGGAAACAATTGGGATCTCTCATCCTACTATTATGTGATCAATGAAGCTCTACTTTTGCGTTTTTTGATGTTTTGCTAAAAAAATTATTGACGTTTTGTTTCCTTTTATTTCAAATTTTAAATTGTTTTTATTTTTTTGGGTTTTTTTCTTATTTGAAAATGTTTGATTGTTGTTTTAAAATGTAATTGTTTTGTTTATGAATTTTTAGAATTGAAGATTGTGTTGAGAATGTTGAAATTCGGTATCTCAGAATTTTGAATTTCAATTTTAACATTGTTAGATTAATTTCAATTTGCTTTATAGGACACACTTGAGGATATTACACCTCACCCAAATAATAACTAGGATTGTTTAAGGAAGATGTCCTAAAGACTGCAAAGAGTGAAGATCAGATTGCTGATAGATTCACTAAAGCTCTCAAGATGGAGTCATTTTATAAACTTAGGAGTCTGGTCGCTGGAAACAATCAAGACTTTAAATTGAATGTTAGCAAACATCAATTTAAGGGAGAGACTATTGGTTAATTAGTTTTTTGTCACTTGTTAGTTAAATAGTTGCTACATGTTTGAAGTAGTATAGTTGTGAGGTAGTGGAGTAGTTGCTACATGAATGAAGTTGTGGAGTTTTGGGGTTGTGAGGTAGTTGCTACATGTTTGAAGTAGTGGAGTAGTAATAACTACTTTTGTTAAGCCTATAAAGGCTTTAGTAATTATTTCATTTTGGCTGCGAGAAAAAAAAAAAGAAAAGAAGTGCTTTTCTTTCTTTTTTTTAACTTGTTTCAATTTTTCTTTCTTTTCAACTCGTATCAAACGTCCTTGCTTCTTGGGTTAGAACGTGTGGGAGAGGAGAAAGTTGGTGCCTCGGCACTTCTTTTGTGGCGCCGAAGTGTCGTCTCCTCTCGTGTGCCAGCTTTGGAGGAGAGCTGAAGGCTTATATTAGAGAGTTTTGTAGTTCATGTAGTAGAGAAAAATAAGGAGAACACAATGGTGGCATTGGCTATAGACCACATATCAAAAAAATTGAGAACAAAGTGTGAGACCCACTATTAAAAAGAAAAAAAATAAGATTTTTCATGAAAGTTCAAATGAGCTTCAAATTGTTCAATACAAATATTTTCAGCTCAAGTTGACTATTTTTTGAGTTTGGAGTTGATTTGAGTTTTTTTAAGGCAAAATCATAATTATAATCTAAACTATTCGTCTTATTGTTCAGGAGCTAAGACGTCTGGAATTGTTAAATTCGTAAATCTTAATATTTTGAGTTTTATAAATATATATTTTATGATTTATTTTTTAAAAAAATATTTTCTTAAATATTCATATTTTCTAAGGACAATAAAAAATACAGAATATTTACATATATATCACATAATTCCTAAGTATTTATAAAAATGTCATCTATTTTGATTTTTACATTCATTTTTATAATTTAATAAGTAATATTTTTATGTAATATTAACAAATTATAAATACAAAGTTTAGGTTTAGATATTTTAATACATAAAATTGTGTGAGGCATCAATCTGAAATGCCCCTAAAAATTTATATTCAGCTCCATGGCCTCCATTATCGCATGAAATCGTTTCAGTCGCCCAGGGTTCACCCAACTTCCTCCTATTTCTTCCTTCTCTTCCGGGGGAGAGAGGGAGAGAGAGGGATTTTGTTCGATCTGACTCTCGTTGTTGTTGCTCCACTGGTGGAGCTTGCGCTGAATGATAGCCTTTTCTTGCTGATTTTTGGGCTGAAATCGATCCGCGAAGAGGGAAAGTGAGGGATTTTGACCTTTCGGCTTCAGATCGTTGTGCACATTTTACCTCTGCCCGAGTTTTGCGGCAATGCGAATCTTTTCTTCAGTCCGGCTTCTTAGAGTAGTCGAATACTGGAATCTTGCGATTTTGAGAATGCTTTTTTTGCGTAATCTGTAGTTACAACTGATCTGCCGCCGACGGATGGAGCAAGTTGGGATATAGTTTTGTGAGATTTTGAGGGTTTGAGGTCGGCGATTCATTTTTCAAAGTGGATCGCTTGTCTTGAAGCTGCAGCAGTTTAAGGTGTTGAGTGTTTATCTCGGATCTTTTATACTCTTGAACGTTCCTGATTGAACTGTTGTTATGGATCACACGATCGGGGGAAAGTTTAAACTTGGAAGAAAAATTGGAAGCGGATCTTTTGGGGAACTATATCTGGGTATGGTGAACATTCACTGTTTTGCATTCCTAACTAATTTTTTGCTTTTGTTTCACTCTTTTGCCGTTTGGAATTAGCTGTTTTACTTGTAGTTTTCTTGGTTTAGGTGCCAACATACATAGCGGAGAAGAAGTAGCCATCAAGTTGGTAAGTGTATTCATCTCACGTCAGTTTACTGGATTTATGATTTTTTTTTCTTCAGGTATTCATTTTCAATGATTATTGTGGACCTTTCTCATACTGTCATGATGAATTGTAGTTGATCATCGAATATTATAGTGAAAATTTCAAATTTATTCAAAAATTCAACCAGCTTTTCAATCGTGAACTAGTTTAACTCACCCTTAATCAATATTTTCAACAATAAGGAGGTCCATAGTGAATGCTTTTGTCTTCCCTTTTCTTCTTTCTGTATTTTCTTGTTTTATTTGAAAAAAGTGAAGCTTTTAATTCAAATGAAGTTTCTGGTTTTCACGTTGAATCAAAACGTTACATGCTTCTCCAGGGTGGAAGTTATTTGCTCTTTACATCCTATTTCTTTTTTTTTTTTTAAATTTCTGTTCTATCTTATAATTATTTTTCTTTTATGGTTTGAAATAGCTGGAATTCCTCACCTGAAGTGGTTTGGTGTGGAGGGTGAGTACAATGTGATGGTAATCGATCTTCTTGGGCCAAGCCTTGAAGATTTGTTTAACTATTGCAACCGGAAGCTTTCGTTAAAAACAGTACTCATGCTTGCTGATCAGATGGTCAGTCTATAGTTTATTTATTTATTTATTTATTATTTGAGACATTTTCGTACATACAACACAATTCTTATATATTACATATACCTAAATTCTGCTTTATTTATTTATACCACCCAAATATTTCAAATCACATAAAAAATACCACCATTTTAACTTTTTAATATGTAATATACACCTTTTCATGCATACATAAGTGATGTTTGTAATTAAATTTTGTGCTTTATATTGAGTGATATGCATGCAAAAATTGAATTTTGGGTGTTTTATATGTAAATACATTGGAATTGAGTGGTATGTATGTAAAAATTGAGTGGTATGTATGTAGTATGTAAATCTTCCTTATTTTATTATTATTATTATTATTATCAATTTTAGGCTGTATTCAAATAAGTTGCTTTATGATTTTTTGCAGGTTAACCGTGTGGAATATATGCACTCAAGAGGCTTTCTTCATCGTGACATTAAGCCAGACAACTTTCTCATGGGATTGGGAAGAAGAGCCAATCAAGTATGTTATTCTCCAATATTCAAGTATTTTTTTACTTGTATTTAATTAATATTACTGTCAAAGCATGCTTCAAGTAAAATTCCATCTCTCTTTATCTTGTTTAATTTAACATTAATTTGCTTGTAACCATCGTATTATTTGTTGGTTGTCCATTTCCAAAAACCTATATCTTTGCTTGCCATTCTGATTACCTGTTTTAGTGCTGTAACAGTTGTGCCGGAAGATGATCTTTAACTTTTACAATATTTCTAGATTTGCAAATCTATCAGTCTTTCAGGATCAGACAAGTCATTAACCTATTAACCAAATTTTCACTATTATTTCTCAATATTTACCAATTCAACTTCTTCTGTAGATAATCTGTGAATTCCCAGTGTGCCTATCTAACAGTTGTTGCTTTTCTAGACTAAACGTGCAATCAATTCAGTATGACAATGATATGGGGCAGCTTATTGGTGTGGTAGCGTTTTGAAAACGCACCTGACATTCGGGTAAACTGTGTTTTGGCAGCTTATGCGTTTTCAAAACACTGAAAATAACGTTTTCACACCGCACATGTCTAGGTGGGGTGACAGCTTTCTGGCCGCGGTCTGGCTTTTCCAAAAAAATAAAAATTTATAATAGCTACCGCACCTAACTTATCAGCAAATTATTTTTAATCAGCTTATCATCAGATTATCCAATAAGCTGCAGCTGTCCCAAACAGACCCTAAACGTGCAATCAATTCAGTATGACAATGATATCTCAGTTTATATTCAGTATGGCAATGATATCTCGGTTTATTTTTGAGCTATGTAACAAGAAATTTTATCAGTAGAGTTTTTATTCCTCTTTTCATTGAATGGCCTACTGGTTCATTTAATATGGAAAGCATTTCATTTTATTAGTTAGTTATGATTGACTTTAAGTAGAACCGGGGAAAAGTGACAAATTGCCAACTCTGTTAATCCACATGGCAAATGCAAGTTCCTAAAAATATTAAGAGAAATATACTGTCTCAGGAAAAGTCAAATGTAGACCTGATAAGGTAATACTAGAAAAATAACATGCCTTGCGAATGTTACAGATTTACATTCAATTTCTTAGTGGATAGATACTAACTTCGAAGGTGTGAATATTTTCCTCTTTTCACTTTGTTCTTGTTTAATGAAGTTGGCGTGTCACTCGAGTAAAATTCAGGCCTTCACATTGGTCTTTTTGAGTTATTGGAAGGGTTGTCAATGAGAGGGAGGGAGGGAGCGACTGGAATGGATTTTTGGAGAGATAGAGAGAGAGTTTCTGAGCTTTCGGCCTTAAATCGCTACCCAACTCCACCCAGTCTTGTGGATTGGTATGGAGATTTGGAGAGGGAGGGAGATTGGGATTTTTAATCAGCCCAAACTGTGGCACGAGGCTGGACTTCAAAAGAGAGAAATAGTGTATGAACACTTAGATCTTGTTTTTTTTACTCCATAGATCCGTTCAACTTACAAGCATAGATTGGTGTTTTGCTTATGGTAATTGTTCATGATTTTGTTTTGGTTCTTACATGTCAACAAAGACCTTTTTTTTTGTACTATGCAAACGTTGCTTCAAGTATATTATCAAGTACATTGCTTGCATTGAGGCTGAATGTGCTTCCTTCATTACAAATATTTGTGGTGCCACCTTATCCTCTACTCACTTTTGATCAACACATTGTCTTGGCCACCTAATATAGGAAGGATTCACAGGCTAGGCACTCAAGTAAATTGATTTTAAATGGATCTTTTATGCCGATGTCATTAAAATTTTGTGATATATCACAAAGCTTACAAACCATATTTGATCCTGTTTTCTAATGATTTTCTATGGTCGTGGATCATTATCTAGATGTGGTGAAAACTTGGTTGAGTTGAAAATTTGATGGCAATTCTATATGCACGCAGAAGTACTCTTTTGATGAACTTTTAAGTGTGTTTTATTATTTATAATTAAATCTTGTTTGTTTATTACCACCTATGGTCTCTTTTTTGTTTTCCTTGGGAGATGTTATGATCAAATTGAGTGTGCTTGGGTATGGAAAAAAAAAATGTTTTGTCCTGCCTTATTTATTTTACACACTTTCTGTTGATTTGATATAATGAATTTTATTTAATGACCATTACATTGTTTTTAATGAGATCCTCATTTATTTATACACTTGTTGCATTGTGTGCCAACATGCTTGAGATGGTGAAAGAAAAGATTTGTGCCTATGTGAATAAATCAACAATGTTGAGGCATTTAGCTTAGTTTGATTATAGAGTAAATGTTGGACCATAATTTGGTAATGGAGCTAATGATAAAGATTTATCATATTTTTTGCCAAAATTATCAAGGATAGTTGCAGGAAGCCTTATGAGTCAATGCATGATAAATGTGAAGGATGAGAAGCGTGATGACAAGAGGGTAGCCCATCACATGTCTCCAAAAAATGCTAGTGAGGCTCGAAGACTTGCATATGGATATTAGATGATTCTCCTACAAAATGCAATTCAATAAATATACCAATCTTTCCTTATTTCAACATGATCTTTTCCATATATTTCTATGGTTGAGGACTAAAATCACCATCTATTTATGAGTTGAGAACTTTGACATTAACACTAAGAAAAATATTGAGGGGATTAGAAGAACTTGCAAAGGAGTGACTATACTAATTATTAGAAAAAGAAAAAAGAAAATTATTAAAATTTGTGTCTTTTAATGAGCAACACCAAATAATCTAATATGCTCACCTATTAGAAGTGAACAAGAGATGGGCAAAGTAGAGAGAGAGAGAGAGAGAGAGAGAGAGAGAGATTGTAAATTAAATCTACCATAAAAAATTACAACATAATGTTTGAGTATTAAATTTTAAGGATTAAACAAAAAGAAATCTAAAATTTACACTATATGTTGGGATGAAATTATTAAAATATTAGAATTTTAACTCTAGTACTACGATAAATAATGAATTAGAAATTTCAAAGATTAATGATAGTTTCTATACTTAAATAGAAGTATATATTATGTTGAAAAATGTTGTGTGTGTGTGTGTGTATGTGTGCGCGTGTAAATAATTAAAATGATTACTCTATGTAATTATATGTGATGTGATAATGAGTAATAGATTGCAAATAAAACAAAATTATTCAACATGATCTTAAATAGGCAATTGATCATATTATAAATTTTGCTGCAAAATCAAATTATATGCCTGCGGGCCAGCTTTTCGTGTTTCTTGTTTTCAGACGACCAAACAGGGTTGCTACTGGTGTTGCGGCCCAACATTCTCAGTATTATTCTGTTTGCTATGCTTCCTGCCCCCTATTCATCAGAAGATGCTAGCGAATTGCTAAAAGCTGCTATAAGAGATCTTGATCCTTGTTTCTTGAAAATGAACCTCTCTATGGAGAGCTTTTTCCAGTTTCAACAGATGTTCTTGATTCAAATTTTTGCTTACGAATTGGAAAAGCGAAGGTCGAATGAGAAGGAAAACATGTCACCATCACTACTTTCTCAAATATGGTTGGTTATGCACTTCTGGCAGCTGAGATTCTCTTCAGGGATGAGATTAGTGTTGAGATTATAAGTCCTCATTCTATCAAACCTCTTGATTGAGATGCTATAACTTCTGTCAAGAAAACCAACACATTGGTCACTATAGAAGAAGGTTTCCGACAAAGTGGTGTTGTTGCAGGGATTTGTGCCATCGTCTTTGAGGAATGCTTCAAGTATCTAAACGCTTTGGTCGAGAGGATTACATGAGCTGATATTCCAATGCCATATGCTGCAATTCTGGAGAAGCCGACTCTTTCTCAGGTTGAAGGACATTGTCTGGGCAGCTAAGAGAGCTTGCTATCGGTCCATATCATTAGCTTTTTTTTCTCCTGCAATAAGCCCTGCAAGCCCTCCTCCATAGCCTTTTTTTTCCAGTATG